GACAAAATGGTTGGGTATCAAAAGTTTTGATCCACCTCTGGTGAAAAAGACAAATTCTCGCCGATTCAGCTGGAAGCGGGTTAAATTTGAACTGCAGCTGCCTCATAGTTTACTATTTATTTTTTCCAAAAATCATTTCTAGGTACATAAGTAGATATTTAATCATAAATACATGGTTTGGTGGCGATACGTCGAGGTTTGGGCGATGGCCGAGGCCCCCAACTCTAGAGCGCGTAAACTCGCATGCCCGCCGCGTAACCGTGGCGTTGCCATGTGTTCTGGGCAGCCTAGGCATGTCTAGTGGGTTGGGCACTCCCAAGGTAGGTTCTAGGAAGAAAATCACAACATAAGATTCTCACGAGGAGACCGATCGATGCTCAAACATGAATTAGCAGCCAAGTGTTTGATTAGCGGTACGGGAAATGCACATGGACAATGGGCATGAGTTTTGGCTAAGGATGATCATCTACTAAGGAGAATGTCTTCACACATTTTTAGCTCAAAAGGAAGATCCTAGGTGGTACTTGCTTTGCAAAGTACCACGCTGAACAAAAATATGAATGCTGAAGCTGGGCTCAAAATAATGAATGGATTGAGTTGAAATTTGGTGGAGGATGGTTATTTGGGCATAGGAAAGCATTGTAGAAAATCGATACCATTTGGACATGCCAAAGTAGTACTTCCTTCACAATGCTCTTCTATGGACAAAAACTTGGGAAAACTAGTGAGAGAGATTGGATGAATGAAATGAGCTAAAAATTGGTGTAGGTAACTTACATAGGTATGGTCATGCGCTGGTAAATTTTCAGATCATTTGGGTAAGCCTAGCTAGTACTTACTTCACAAAGCTTCTCTCGAGGTCGAAACTTTGGAAATTTCCTGAGAAAGATTTACTAGGAAAATTGAGCTGAGTATTATCATGTGGCAATGATTTAGGTATGGAAGAGTGCCCGAAAAGTTTGAGGGTAATAGGAGGGGTCTATATAACACTTGCTTTGCAACGTGCCAATTTGGCCATAAAATATAAATTGAACCTGGGCTCACATAGATGATTTGACTGAGCTGCAATTTGGAGGAGGGTGATAATTTGGGCATATGAAGGAATTGTATAAATTTCATGTCATTTCGAGATATAAAAAGGTACTTCCTTCACAATGCTTCTAGGTGGACAAAAACTTTGGAAATTTGTCGAGGAAGATTTGCTAGGAAAATGGAGCTGAATTTTGTCATGTGGTAATGATTTGGATAGGAAAGAGTGCCCAAAAATTCCAAGGGCAATCAAGAATATATAAATAGCACTTCCTTCATAAAGTGCTGTTGTGAACAGAATAGGAAAATGAATATTGTTGAATTAGTTTTGAACTAGGCAAGGAAGGATTTTTACATATTTGATGAAGATATGACCCAAAGAATTTATGAGATTTTTTTGGGAATTTTGGGAATGACAGAAATATAGGTTGCTTCACAACCTAGGGCAAAAACTGCCACATGGACATGACACATAGGCAAAACTGATGAGGTGGCGCCTAGTCATAGCAACCCACCATAATTTACAAGGTTATGACCATCTATATTGGTCATGATCAGCTAGAAATAAGGTAGCAGACCAGTGCTATCTGCTTTATGACTATTTCGTCTAAGGAAATTACGACCTTTCTGACCAAGATGGTCGTTATAGTTTAGGGTTTGGAGCCCCCCGAACAGCTTTTGACCAATTGGCCTGAAATGGTCATAGATCTATGACCAATTCTTTCAGGGTCACTGACAGAAGGTCACTAGTTGACATATTTCTTGTAGTGTTACCGGAACCCCCCGGGGAGTCAATAGGCCTTATTGGGCCTTAGTGAGAGAGAGGAGGAGGAGGCCAATGTGGGGGCGTGCCCCCCAAGCTCAATCCGAATTGGGAGGGGGGCCGGCCTCCCTTTCCTTCTCTCCCTCTCCCTCTTCCTTCTTCTCCTACTCCAACTAGGGAAGGGGGGAAACCTACTCCTACTGGGAGTAGGACTCCCCCCTTGGGCGCGCCATGAGAGGGCCGGCCCTCCCCTCCTCCACTCCTTTATATACAGGGGAGGGGGGCACCCCATAGACACACAAGTTGATTGTTTAGCTGTGTGCGGTGCCCCCTCCACAGAATTCCACCTCGGTCATATGGTTGTAGTGCTCAGGCGAAGCCCTGCATCGGTAACTTCATCATCACGGTCATCACGCCGTCGTGCTGACGAAACTCTCCCTCGGCCTCAGCTGGATCAAGAGTACGAGGGACATCACCGAGCTGAACGTGTGCGGATCGCGGAGGTGCCGTGCGTTTGGTACTTGATCGGTTGGATCACGAAGACGTTCGACTACATCAACTGCATTTCATAACGCTTTCGCTTTTGGTCTACGAGGGTATGTAGACATACTCTCCCCCTCTCGTTGCTATGCATCTCCTAGATGGATCTTGCGTGTGCGTAGGATTTTTTTTGAAATTACTATGTTCCCCAATAGGCATGTACAAAATATACAATATAACACTTCATAATTTCATCCATGATCATTCTTAGGTGTCGTGCCACCTCACATTTTAGTTAGGCACATGTAAAATCAAAACACCAATCGCAAAATAAATAAATCAAAACACAACATAATAGAATAGGCAGTTTTTAGATTACGTAGTAGTGGGAGGGAACTAACCTAGGGTGGATGTCACACGCCCACAGTTGCATGGCGAACCAAATTTCCCCTCCGTCCCTCCATAATTACTGCCGCAAGGGCATCATTTAGATATGGCCTTTTTTAAAGTAAACTTCGCCATGGCTGCAATTTCGTGTACTTTGTTCGTGTCCAACACATCGACTAGTGTGCAATCATCGTTCACATGCTAGGATAGTCCTCCCGTGGTCATCACTGACTGGTTGCAGCTGACCCATCAATGATGAATCTCACCACTGAAAGGTGGCTCCATGCTGGTCAGTGTTGGACAGGTTTCTAGTATTGATTGATGACCAAGCCAAGACCACTTACGGAACACAAACTTTCATATATACTTTATCTATATTTCTTATATCTAGATAGAAAAACATATTTCTCTTTGATTGCTTGCAGGTATTCGACTTTCGTGATCATGCCCCTGCGTAGTCAATAACAACCCAGGAGTTCGATTGGTGCATAGGCGCAACATCATCCGACACCGTAGTCAATTGGTGATACCCTTTTACCTACCATGTGGTATTAGAGTTGTATTTTTTTAAAGAGCAAGCACACCATGTCAGAGTACTAACATGTGATGTTTTTTTAGCAAGCTTGATGGCCGAGATGCAGCAACATGCATGCACTATTAAACAACCTATTTCGTTATATCAAGATTGGGTTACTAATCATAGTTGAGTTTAAGTACGACCACATCATATATTCGTACTGTTGAGTTGCTGACCCAAAGGTCCATTCATTTAGATTTTTGAGTTATGTTCGCAATATGAGACTCCGCTCTAACTGTTGTTGCAACTACATGAATAAGCTCCACATGTCTATTCACCATCTATGATGTTGCTTTCGGAAGGTTTTAGATATTAAATGTGAAGTGCTACTGTGGTACTTATTTTGATGCTTGTATATTCTGGTACTATTTCATATGTTGTTATTGTGATGCCAATTAAGCAATGGTGGTTGAACATATGTTACGTTGGGTATGTTTGATGGATATGAAATATATTGTGTGCATGTGTTCAAATTTAAATTCTGGAGAAAAATATTGCAGGGATTAAATTGTGGAAAAATAAACGTAGTGTCCCGGTAATAATACTGCACATGGTTCTGAACAAGAAGCTGTGTGCAATAAACACATACAACAGACACAATTGTGACGTGATCAGCATGTGAGATGAACCAACGAATGCACCTGTTCTGCAGTGACAAAATTTGTGTGATCAAATCATACATCACGCACGGTTATGCCTTTCACATCATGTGCGAACGACGCTGCCGACGCACACGTTCACTGATAACAAATCGTGTGCATTGAATCTGTACAAAACAAATGATCCTGCCTTTTTCGTGTGTGCGATTCTCGTGAACAAAACACACGTTTCTTTGTTACTAATGTGTGGGATAATAGCCCAATCCCACAAGCTTACTAAATTGTGTGTGATTGACTGTGCGACACGGGCTTTGAACTGTGTGCAATGAGCATATATGTACTGGCGGGAATTTATATTTCATCTACTCTTTTGGAAAAAGGACTACAATTAAGTTATGCCCTAAAAGAAAATGATGATCCATGCTGAAACCAAAATTTGCAAGTAGAAGAAGACTATCTCTTACCAATATTATGAGTCCAGAACCTTCTTTTACAAGATTTTATATAGTACTCCCTCCGTCTCATAATATAAGATCGCCTTGCAAGCTAAAACAATTTGCAAAATGATCTTATATTATGAGACGGAGGGAGTACCTTAAATCTTTAGGCAAGCTTAACCGGCCAAATAAATGCATGCATGTGTGATCGAGGTCGACCTTGCCCATAGGCGAATGTATCAGGTTCCCTCGCGAGGTCAACCCATCAAAATATTCCGATATATATATGCTTTGGGACCTATTGAATAAAAGATGCATATATTATCCAAATTGATCTCGATCCATCCATACCGACCACTCAATACAAGTGGGCAGGCCACTGCTTGTTGAAGTTTGAACCCAAAACCGTCTAGTAATCGTATGAACTTTGCAATTAATTATATTCTAGTCGATGGAAGTCAAAGGTCACTTGCTATACGTGACATCACATATATAGATTCCTTCTAAATTACACTGTTAAAGATAGTGTGACACGTGTTGGCAATCTGGCATGTTGGAAACACTATAAAACGAAGCTAAGCTCCATGCTGCCAAACCATCCCAAATCTCCTTGCACACAAGCTCACTATAGCAGCTACAAGCTACTCAGGAGCTGACCAACACCCTTCCAAGAGCCTCCTTCCATCACTTTGCCGCCGAGCTCGACCACTGCGAGGTTACATCACAAGATGGACCGTGTGATGAAGCTAGCATCTGAGCGTGCCGTGGTGGTGTTCACCCTGAGTCCCTGCTGCATGTGCCACACAGTGGAGCGTCTGTTTCGTGACCAGCTTGGGGTCAATGCGCTGGTGCACGAGCTCGACCAGGACCCTAGGGGCAAGGAGATGGAGAGAGCCCTCCTCAAGATGCTCGGCAGGGGGCCGTCGGTGCCGGTCGTCTTCATCGGCGGGAAGCTTGTTGGTGGCACCAACAGGATCATGTCTCTACACCTCGGTGGCGAGCTAGTCCCCATGCTCAAGAGTGCCGGTGCTCTCTGGCTATAGAGAGCTAGTTCAAGAGACGACCTAACTCTTGTACAACTCGGAGAGATAAGATGGTCGACGAGTAACGTGTGAGTTACACATTTTCCTAGAATAATCTAAGTGACCTAGTGTGTATCAAGGAAGGTTTTTTCACTCCTACCTTGACAATCACAAGGTTTAATCTCGCTGGTAGTTAAGTAGCGAGTGATGTGCGTGGTTGCTGTAATAATATTCTTCTTAAGTTTTTGTCATATCTAGATGTGTGCCTATTCACTCGCCCTTTTTTCATGACCTTGTTAAATTAATATATGTGCATGTTACATGTAAACGTTTTCATCCCAACCGTATATTTTCGTGAAGTACAGGTTGGGCTACCCATTTGCTATGACATGTATCGCAGTGCTACTTTGTTTCTTTGCTTGGTGGATTTATATATCCGCACACGATACATTAACAAAAAAGAAATTCTTTTTCGAAAACATAGTGACCCACGGCCTCTGTATCATTGTGTTGCACATATCATCTTTATTAAAAATGTATCAAGTATTCAAAACTGTCAAAAAAAAAGAAAAAAAGAAATGCTCAAGACCCAACCGATCTGTAACACGATTACATGACTCAAACACATATCCTGTTACCACTCCACAACCAAACCAGATGGAGATGGTATGAATAATTAACCGAAACATGTTTTCCTGAATGTCAACGCAGTCTCCAAGATGTAGATAAGTTTTTCTGCTAATTTATTTTGTGATATAATGTTAGGAAAACATCTTCCAAGGTTATTAAATCAACTCATGTACTTTTTAATCATAATCTATCCAATCTAAATATTAGAAAGGATATGTGCAATTAAAGTTTGAAAAGTATCTAAAATGCACCAAAGACATGTTATAGAACTGGAAAGTGGAACAAGTCTCTTTGCATATAAGATCACTATATAGCACGTGAGTTCTCGTACTTTTTACTCTTGTGTGAAAAATCGCATTTGAAAATTTGGTTTGCAACGAGTATCTGGAAATTATGTGTTATAAATTGTTTCAACTCAGGATTACTAGTCAGGGTCAACTTCGACATGCAATCTTCTCGGCAGAATACTCCTCGAAGCTTTAGCATACTTCTCTGCTGCGCAGAAAACCCTTACTAAAGTTTATAGCAAACTTCTCGTGACTCCAGGGACCATATCTCGGTGTGTGCATTAGCAAACACATTAGTCCCTCACTAGATTGCACCAAAAATTTCGTTAATTATCTCCAAGATAAGTTCCTGGGCAATCACCCCTAGTCAACTCCCGCAGAGCAGTGTAGCCCTGAACCTATCTCAACCTCTTCCACCTCAGCCCTCCACAACAACAGGAAGAGGAAGAACAATATCCCTCTGGTTGAGACAGGCGTAAGGAGAAGTTGTAGATTGAATTTTTTTCTAAAGAATTTAAAAAATCTGTGTGTAGAGACAAAGAATGTCTAGCTTGTCATGCTGCTCCACCAATCCTTTCAGCTAAAATCATTAAGAGTCTGAATACTTCATTTTGCAAGGTTTCTGGAAAGGACACCTCTGAAGATCTAAGCAAGAGAGCAAAAAAGGGCAAGACTGAAGGCACATCTATGGAGGGAGCAAAGAATGCCAAAGATAAGAAGAAAAAGTGGATGTGAAGCTTGGGTTTCAAGACATAGCTTTTGGAGTAGTTTTCTTTTGTTTAAGATGTGGAAGTTGCTCTTTGTGATCTCTATGTACTTAAGTTACTATGATCCCCACTCCTATGCTCAGTATCATACTTTTGTATCCATGCATGGATTAGCTACTAAGTTTCTTCCTGAAAAGATTAGGTTGTGGAATGATTATCTGTGTTCAGTTCAGTGGTTTTCTTCATGCCTCTTTTGAACAGAAATTGAAACATCCTAAACTGAAACATTAGAGGTCTTAATGACCCTAAGAAATGGACAACTATTTCCAACAAAATTGATGAGTCCAAATGCTACATCCTTTGTCTACAAAAAACTAAGAAAGAAGTCATTGATCCCTCCTTCCTCAAGAATTTCTACCCTAGAAGTTTTTCAAAGTTTTGAGTTCCTTCCCTCTGTAAGGGCTTCTAGAGGCCTACTAGTTGCTTGGAATGATCATGTTTTTTCAGGGCAATTATTCCACATCAATGATTTCTCCATATCCATTCAATTCACCTCTAAACATAATAGAGATTCCTGGATCCTCACCAATGCTTATGGGCCTTGTCAGCAAAATGAGAGAGTGATCTTCCTTGACTGGTTTCAGAATTTTCAATTGCCAGACGGTACTGAATGGATTGTATTGGGAGATTTCAACTGCATAAGATATCCACATAACAGGAATAGAGAAGGGGGCAACATTAATAAAATGCTTTCTTGTAATGATGCCATTAGTAGACAAGCCCTTATTGAAATCCCTCTCAAAGACAGAAATTTCACTTGGAGCAATATGCATGATGCTCCACTTCTTGAAAAACTGGACCGGTGTTTTACTTCGGAAGCATGGACTCTCAAATACCTAGCCACATTTGCATACCCTCTTGCTAAAACCACTTCAGATCATATCCCAATCAAAATCTGCATTGGATCTCACATCCCAAAATCTAATGTCTTTAGATTTGAAAACTTCTGGCTAGAACATCATCAATTCAGAGAAATTGTTCAAAATATCTGGATCCATCCAGTTGATGAGCAAGACAGTGCCAAGATCATTGCTACTAAATTTAAGAGGTTGAGAAAAGGACTAAAAACTGGTCAAAGGAGATTTCATACTTAAAGAATATTGATTATTGATAACTCCAACTTCCTGATCTTATGCTATGACCAACTTGAGGAATTCAGAACTCTATCTATGGACGAAGCTAATGGCAGAGACATACTCAAGACCCACCTGGCAACCATGCTGGAAAATCAGAGGAAATATTGGAAGCAGTGAGCCACTATTAGGAAGATTAAGATAGGGGAGGCAAACATCAAATACTTTCAAGCAAAAGCCACCATCAAGTATAGGAACAACTGCATTGCCATGTTAAAAGATGACTCAAGTTTTGAACATCATGATCACCATGCCAAAGCTTCTATTCTATATAGAGCTTTTAAAGATAGGATGGGTACTGAGGCAGAGACACAAAACCCACTACTACTTGATCAACTGCTCAACCCCCCGGAAAACCTTGCAGAGCTGGAAGTTCCGTTCACCAAGGAGGAAATTGACAAGGTTGTTAAACATATGCCAGCTGATAAATCTCCGAGACCAGATGGTTTTAATGCTGCTTTCCTTAAACACTACTAGGATATAATTGCATAGGATTTTTACAATCTCATCAATGACTTTCATGCTGGGAAAGTTAACTTACAAAGCATCAACTACTCCTTCATAACACTTATTCCAAAGAATGACAATGCATCATGTCCCACAGACTTCATGCCTATCTCATTGCTGAATTGTACTCTAAAGATCATCACTAAGCTCTTGGCCAATAGATTGCAAAAAGTCATTCTAAAGCTGGTGCACAAAAGTCAATATGGTTTCTTGAACAACAGATGCATACAAGATTGCTTGGTTTGGACTTATGAGTATGTTCATCAGTGTTTCCACAGTAGAGAAGAACTTTTCCTACTAAAGTTGGATTTTGAGAAGGCTTTTGATATGCTCAGTCATGATACAATCATACAAGTTCTTCAGGCTAAAGGCTTTGGAGACAAATGGATTTAGTGGATTAGGATGATTTATGGTACCGAGGGTTCCTCAGTTTAACTTAATGGGATCCCTGGGAAACAATTTCTCTGTAAAAAAAGGTGTGAGGCAAGGTGATCCTCTCTCTCCTTTGATATTTGTCATTGCTGCAGATGTTCTTCAGTCCTTGATTAATGAAGCAATGCACAATTCGATTGTCAGCTCCCCGTTGAGGCACAACTCTAGCCCAGATTATCCTACTATCCAGCATGTAGATGATACCATTTTGCCGATTCATGTAGACAACAGACATGCTCAACAGATCAAAAAATTGCTTAATTACTGTGCAGACTACATTGGGCTTAAGATCGACTACTCAAAATCCACTATGGTCTCTATCAACACTCCTCCTGAGAAGATGCAAGAGTTATCAAATCTATTGGGTTGTAAGATTGGTACTCTTCCTCACACCTACCTTGGTCTGCCTCTCTAAACTGTCAAATCAAAAATTGAAGATTTTGTGCCTATGTTAAAGAGGATTGAAAAAAGGCTTCTGGGCTGCTCCACTTTGCTCTCCACTGGGGATAAATTTGAAGGAAATATGCCCTAGAGGCAATAATAAAGTTATTATTTATTTCCTTATATCATGATAAATGTTTATTATTCATGCTATAATTGTATTAACCGGAAACATAATACTTGTGTGAATACATAGACAAACAGAGTGTCACTAGTATGCCTCTACTTGACTAGCTCGTTGATCAAAGATGGTTAAGTTTCCTAACCATAGACATGAGTTGTCATTTGATTAACGGGATCACATCATTAGGAGAATGATGTGATTGACTTGACCCATCTGTTAGCTTAGCATGATGATCGTTTAGTTTGTTGCTATTGCTTTCTTCATGACTTATACATGTTCCTATGACTATGAGATTATGCAACTTCCGTTTACCGGAGGAACACTTTGTGTGCCACCGAACGTCACAACGTAACTGGGTGATTATAAAGGTGCTCTACAGGTGTCTCGAAAGGTACTTGTTGGGTTGGCGTATTTCGAGATTAGGATTTGTCACTCCGATTGTCGGAGAGGTATCTTTGGGCCCACTCGATAATGCACATCACTATAAGCCTTGCAAGCATTGCAACTAATGAGTTAGTTGCGGGATGATGTATTATGGAACAAGTAAAGAGACTTGCTGGTAATGAGATTGAACTAGGTATTGAGATACCGACGATCGAATCTCGGGCAAGTAACATACCGATGACAAAGGGAACAACGTATGTTGTTATGCGGTCTGACCGATAAAGATCTTCGTAGAATATGTAGGAGCCAATATGGG